CACCGGAGTAAGCCGCGAGCTCGAGGCGCTCGCGGACGAGCTCCCCGCAGCAGAGGAGCCGGAGGAGGCGTAGCGGCGGTGGGCGAGCTCGCGCTCGTACTCGACCAGCTCGCGGCGTTTGAATGCTAGCGGCGGCCGGCTCCCGTGGTTGAGCCACCTTCGCGTGCCCTCGCTTGTGTGCGGCGTCGGATCTGGCGCGGTGGGGGCGCTCCACGTCATCCCCAGAGCTCCCGTAGCCATCCATGGCTTTTTCAGGCTCGCCGGCGGCAAGAAATTGGACGGAGGAGGGGAATCGCGGTGGAGGCGCATAAGGTTTGACCCGTATCCGAGTGGTTAGGGATGTAAACCTGATCCCGTTTAATCCCGTTTGAAGTCCACTTATGATATGATAGTTCAAAAAAGTTTTTTTGTTTGTCTGAGAAAATGAACTATCAGGCTAGCAAAAACCTAACAAAACGGGATTACGGACGTCATTTATTTGCCACTTATAACTCTACAAGTGGTGAAACCGCATATATAAGTGGGGAGAGAGTTTTTGCGGGCCATGATAAAAAATTCACAGACCGGGACACGGATACGATATCTATTATGTCCAGAAAAACGGCCAAGCCCGTAGACTCCTCGGAATTATACGCGTTCGGCCCTTTCAGGGGCTCTGCTAGAGCATCAGGAACCATAGCCGATCCTGCGGATCCATCCTCTCGGCCGCAGGCGCCGCCAATCCCCACCGCCGTCCACCACCACTCTGCCCCGACACCATCCCTTGCGACAACCCCCTAGCCCACCTGCCATCTGCCGCCGGCCACCACCAGTGTCCTCCGCCGCCATCCCCTGTGACACCCCCGACCCGTCCCTGCCGTCCGCCGCCGGCCACCACCACCTCTGCTGCTTGGGTAATTATGCCTGGCTGCGTTCCGGGGGAAATAATCTCGCGGGAGACAGGGGCGGGAGAAGATTTGATTTCCTTGTGTAATCGAGGAAGAGAGGAGGTCGATTTCGGATTGTGCGGCAACAAAGGAGTGATTTTTATTCCGAGTCTGTCTGTTGAGAAGTTGTAATCCGGATCCTCCTCCCTCTCCTCTGAATAATCTCCTCCCTTTTGGATGAGAGCCGGCCGAGTCGGAGGAGGAGGGGCCGCCTATCGATCTAATAAATTGGCGTCCCCAATTTGTTCTTCGCCGGCGATTAGTCTGCTTTGTTGCGGCGGTCTAAATAAACAGAGGAGGGGAAGGGGGGATTCGAATAAGGCCAGCTCAGGCGTCCTCCGTTGTCACAGATCCAATAAGATCAGCCATGAAGAACAAAAACGGTCGTCCCAGGGTAAGTGCTGCTTCTTTTGTGCCTGATGTTTGTCCTTCCCTTCGATTCGTCGTCATGGCTAGGTTGCTGATTTGTTGTTTTTTCCTGCTAAATGCAATGCAGAAATCAGCTCTCAACGAAGCCGCTGCTGGCAACAAGAATGGTCGTCACAGGCGGAATGTAAGTGTGCCTGGTGTTTGTACACAACATAAGGTTCATCCTCAAAAGGCTGATTATCTGTTGTTCCAGCTAAATGCAACGCAAAAGGCAACTCGCAACGAAGCCGCTGCTAGCAACGCAAATGATGACAGGCTTAGCAAGCTGCCCAATGACCTTCTTCTCAACATTCTGGAGAGGGTGGACACACTCGACGCTATAAGGGCCTGCATCCTCTCCAGGCAAATGCTGAAGCTCCCCACCATGCTCTCGCGCTTTTACCTAAGTGTTAGTTCCATTCCAGGTCTCCAGGCTAAACCACCTCGCGCTGTCACCCTCAAGGAAGTGCTCGGAATCAACAGTGCTTTGTCTCATGTAACGGATAACATCTTGAGCACAAGGAGCCCGGAGGTTACCATCAGCAAACTCAAAATCAGATTTGTCTTGTTGCCTGATGACTCCCTTGCCATTGGAAGATCTGTCGCCCGCGCCATGGCAACCCAGAAGCTTGGTGCAGCTGAGTTTGAGATCGTAACGAAGAAGCGTTATAACCTCTGCTCTTCTATTGATTTCCTCAACTTTGCCAAGCAGTTCAATGATTTAGTTGGTGCTTGTCCGCATGCATTTGCTGGCCTTACGAGCCTGTGGCTGGAAAATATGAGGTTTGGTGAACTGGACATTCCCAACATCCTCAGCACTTGCAAGCTCTTGGAGTATTTGCGTTTAACCCATTGCGACTCAGGGATCTATTCTGTGCTGCAAGTAGAACACACTCAACTTGTTGAGCTCGAGATCGACCAGGGGAAATTTCAGAGAGTTGAGCTGATATGTCTACCAAAACTCCAACGGTTGACCTATAATAATTGGTTCTCTTGTGAGGATCCGATGTATTTTGGTTTTGTACCACAGCTTTCAAAGCTGAGCCTTATTAAAACTGCCACCCGTTCGGACAAGTCTCTCAAGTTAAGTCAACTCCTTGCTAATGTTCCTTCCGTAGGCGATCTGCGTCTGGATTTTGGAAGTGAAAAGGTACTCATTGGTCATTTGGATTATATCTGTCCATTCTCTATGACGGTTGTATGTAACGTACTAATTCTGTTAATTGTTTTTTTTTCTATTCCAGATCTGGGTTCTACCAGAATGCCCAAAACTGCTCAGGCCTGTGCTCAGCAAACTACAGCATGTGAATCTGGACCATCTCCCTGAAGGATGTGATTTAGCTTGGACAATGTTTATTCTTGAAGCTGCACCCTCCTTAAAAGAGCTATGCATCACAGTATGGGATCATTGGTGCATAATGGTGAAAGACAAAGAGTTTCGGGAGAAATATGGTTACTGCGAGAAGGCAGACGTGAAGTGGAAGCCATATGCCCCTGATTTCAAGCACAAGAATCTGGCTAAGCTCACCATCTATGGCTTCCAACCTGACGACAATTTTATGCGATACGTCAGGTGTGTCGTGGAACATGCCATTAATATAACAGAGATATCCCTGTCCGACAGGAAGGGGTGTAGGCGGTGTGGTGACTTGGATCCATCAAGATATCCACGGACTGCCGGGGAGAGGAAACAGACAGCTGACGAGTTGGGTTTGGCTTCGGGTGTTGTGGTTCATTTCCGGTCGTGATTGAAAAAATTATGAGTAGCTTGTAAGTCATCTGTTCTATCATCTTTGTAGCTGGAAGGAGTTTGTAAGTCATATGTCATATCATGTTTGTAGCTGGAAGTAGTTATTGTACCTTTTGCTTTGCTTTCAGTTGAAGCTTGTTGTGAAGTATTCTGAGATTTGACATCTTTGGAAATAATAATTGTGAACTATTGACTATTGTGGAGTTTATAGCAAACAAGCATTAATTCATACTGCCTCTGTCCCAAAATAAGTGTCTCAATTTTGGGACGGAGGGAGTACAAGTTTGTGCTATGAGATAATTGTGAACTCAGTATACTTTCCGAGGAAAATTGTGCAGACATTTGCATTTACACACAACCACTGTATACCTTTGTTTCGGAAGAATGGTCACGGTTTCTGATTACTATGCTTTTCTGAAACGGCACCCAGCGTTTGGTACAACAAACAATGTATCCTGTAGCAGTGTCTTCCGATACGGAGGTTCACAAACTCGAAAACACCCAGATCAAGGCTGATTAGAAAAGCGGGGAGTGGGGCGGCCAAACCAAACTTCCCGATACCTTAACCAAAGACGAACTTTCATATGTAAATTTGCATTTACAAACAACCACTGTATACCTGAATGATCTATGTAATCTCCACGTTAAGAATGGTCATAAACGTTTATGACCAAAATACGTCTACTGTGGCGTTTTAGTCACTAGCAACCTCCCCAGGCCACGTAGGCATCCAACATGGCAATTTGATGTGGCACAAGATTCAGCCCGGTCCAATTCGATTTTCTACATGGGCCTAGCCCAACAATTTGGCCTATTTGTGTTTTTTTCTCATATTAATTTTGGCTAGGTAGATGACACCAGTGGGACCAAAGGTAACAACCATACCAGGCTTGATGACACCAGTCTCAACACGGCCAACGGGCACAGTTCCAATGCCACCAATCTTGTAAACATCCTGAAGGGGAAGACGCAATGGCTTGTCTGAGGGCCTCTTGGGCTCATTGATCTGATCAAGTGCCTCAAGCAGGGTAGGGCCCTGGTACCAGTCAAGGTTGGTGGACCTCTCAATCATGTTGTCACCCTCAAACCCAGAGATGGGGACGAAGGGAACCTTGTCAGGATTGTAGCCGACCTTCTTCAGGTATGAAGATACTTCCTTAACAACTTCCTCATAACGGGCCTTCGAGTACTTGGGAGTGGTGGCGTCCATCTGTAACAGATGAGACACAACTGTTGAGAAGTACTAGTATGTAATGATACAAACAAATATTAGAAATAGCATACATTTCTAGCCAAGTACTCATGCGATGAAGGTGCATGGAACAAGAGATACCGAGCAAACAAGAAATTGCGATTGTAAATTAAGATAAGTAACAGTCACTAACATATATGATGGAACTAATCAGTGAAGAAATGCTATATAATCACCCCAAGATTCGCAACATGGAGTAACATAGATTACAGTGGTACTAAATAACCTGTATATTTACAAAGTCATTCTGAAAATTCACATCAACTAAGAAAGTGAGCAGCATATATATTTTAAAAAATTACTAGGTTAACAAATACCAATCAAGGCCAATAATGAAATAAATACCAATCATTTCATGGTGAGCAAGGCTAATAATGAGATAAATGCCAATCAGTTCACAGGGGCACTAATGAGCGTGGACAACCTAGTAATTTTTAAATCAGATCAATAGCAAACTAGTACACAAGTCATATGGTCACTCATAAGAATCAGCATTAAAAGTTGAATAGCCAGTATTACCTTGTTGCAGCAGCAGATCATCTGCTTCACCCCAAGAACATACGCAAGGAGCGCATGCTCACGGGTCTGGCCATCATCAGAGATACCAGCCTCAAAACCACCAGTGGTGGAGTCAATGATGAGCACAGCGCAGTCAGCCTGGGAGGTACCAGTAATCATGTTCTTGATGAAGTCACGATGACCAGGCGCATCGATGACTGTGCAGTAGTACTTGGTGGTCTCAAACTTCCACAGGGCAATATCAATGGTGATACCCCTCTCACGCTCAGCTTTCAGCTTGTCGAGCACCCACGCGTACTTGAAAGACCTCTTGTTCATCTCAGCAGCCTTCTTCTCGAGCACCTCGATCGTATGCTTGTCAATAGCTCCAAGCTTGTAGATCAAATGTCCTGTTGTGGTTGACTTGCCAGAGTCAAAATGGCCAATGACCACGATGTTGATGTGAGTCTTTCTCTGTTAGAACAAACAATCGACATAGATCCAATCAGATTTGTTGAGAACTAAGCATGATAGGCCTAAATAAATATACCCAAAACTACAGGTGCAATGCTGAATATTTCTACTCACAACCCATAGATCCTGTGGAACAAAAAAGACAAAAGGTAGAGCCTCATACATGAGTTACCAGAAAGCAATACCAACAGACCTTAGGTTCACTGAGCGCATAATGAGTGATCTCAGGCTCAAAATCTGGAATAGGTACAAGGCCCATTTCCTGAGCCTCAACCTCATGGGGATGGTCCTCTTCCAGTACTGGCCCGATGCCTCCTGCATTCCGCTTTTGGCGCTTGCGGTTTCTCAGCTTGGTTTTGGTATCCCGACAAACACGCACCTTGGAAGCTGAGAACAGAAAAAAGGCATTTCTTAACAAAAGTACACGAAGTAAATCTACATCAATAAACCCCAATAGGCACAATGTAGAGAAGATAAATGCAAAAATTATACCCTTGCCAGGCTGAGGCTCTTCCTTGGTCATGTCAACACCTTGAACTGCAAACATAGTCTGAAATTCAAAAGCATTGATCAACCAAAATGTGGTATTGGATATTCTGTGAATACTTTGCAAACAACTGTAGATGCAAAGGTATATACAGTAGGAAGTTGCATCAACTCAAAATGGAACTACATACCGTCGGCACTATTAAGAATTACGTACTACAACAGTCTAACAGAATATTTCTGCACCAAGCCAACAGTATATTTCTTAAGAAACATAAGAGGATAGATTCACATTTCAGGCTGCCTACTGCCTACGTGCCATGGACAGAAGCTTGTTTGAATGTGACTAACAAGCACACACAAGCACAATTAAAACGAAATAATTTGGATATCTGAAGTAAAATTCATACAGCAGTAAAGCTTGAGCAGTAACCTGGGGGGGGTCTAAGAAGTCAGATATCTGAAGTCAAAACAAGTGCACTTTCCAGACCAGAGTTTCAATCACCCGAATCACACATCAAAGAATACAAAAAAAAAGTCAATGAACCAACATTCACCGGACACATAGCATTCCAAAATCTGCTGAGGTATGCAGGTAAACTAAGTGAAACAAGGCACTTGTCCAGCCCTAGGGTTTCAATCAACCGAACTCCACATCCCCAATTAATACGATTCACCAACATGCACGCGAACTACGAACTGGCTGCAACTGTAACTTCGACCCATCCACATCCCGACATCTAATCCAAGCAGTTAACAAAAAATCGAACGGGATATTGCAAAGCGATTCGCTACACCATCACATATCGAAAGTTAGGGATCCAGAGTGGTTACTCGATAACATATCAGGGATCGTGAGGGGCTACGCGTCACAGATTAGAAAAAAACGATGGGGATCTGAGGTGGATCGGGATGGGGAAGCTCACCTAGCGCGGTGGATTCGCGAGGTCGGCGCGGTTGCGGAGCGGAGGAGGCCGCGAGCTGGGGCGGCGCGGTTGCGGAGCGGAGGAGGCGGCGAGCTGGGGCGGCGCGGAGCGGAGGAGGCGGCGGGTTGGGGATGGGGCGCGGAGGGGGAGGCGGGCGCGAGGATCAGGCGCGGACGGGGAGGCAGGTGTGGGGATCGGGCGCAGAGAGGGAGGCGGGTGTCTTATAGGACCTGATTAAAGGGGGGATTTGGGATGTGGTTGATGCGCGAAGGAATTGGGTGGACGGCGGCTCAGCGCGTGATGTTGCGAAGGATTGCGCTCTTCTCTGAGAAGAGAAAGGGGATAAGACCAAAGAAAACAGCAGCAGCAGCAGCAAAAAATCTTGGGTGCTGCTTCTCCCAAGCTTTCTTCTTCATTGAAAGAAGCTGCAGATGTTGCTGAACCCATTACTTCAACTTGGGTGGTGCTGCTCCTCCCAAGTTCTTCGTTTTCTCTGTGTCCAACAATGCTCTTTCTCTACTCGAGCAAAGGAGAAATCAGCCACCTCTGGATTGGATAACGAGGCTGATTCATCCGTTGCTCGCAAGAGAAAGAGCACCACTGGTTGTGCTGCATAAAACACAAGGAAAGAGGAATTGCTGTGGCTTGGAAACTGGGGAGAAGAGGGCCGCGGAGGCATGAAGAACAGAGCAGTAGTACAAAGGAACAAGAAGAGAGAGAGGGGGGGTCAAAGGGAGGAGAGCTGCCTCGCGAGAGCAGAGCACTGCTTATATAGCCCAACGGACGGTCGGCACGCATCCATCCATCCAAGGCGCGGAGCTCCACCAACCAACTTTGCCCTACAATCACGCCCTGATCTGTCATCCCTTCGATTTCGGCCAAATATTTTTAGTTTAATAAACAGCAACGCCACCGATTTTTGGCAGGTGATCAAATGTTTTAAATTGCGCCGATTTGGACCTTTCCTGGCGCATGGCCCACGCACCACGCGGACGAGGATCCCCTGCCGTGGCCAAGCCTACCTTTGAGTCACTGACACACGGGTCCCACAAAGTATGGGGCCCACCTGTCAGTGACTCAAAGGCAGGGTATGGCAGGGATTGCAAAGTCAGAGGATCCACGTCCGCACCACGCAGTGTCTCGTGCCGGACCGTGCCTGCTTTCCATTTTCGCGTGAATAAATTAACGTCAAATTGAAAAACTTTCCAGTTATACTGCGTACAAAAACTGAAAAACAATCGTGACAAGCATCGTTTGCTGGTGGGCAGCAAAGAGTTTTGTGATACTCCCTCTGTCCGGAAATACTTGTCATCAAGATGGATAAAAGAGATGTATCTAGACGTATTTTAGTTCTAGATACAT